TTTCTAAAACGCTATCATTTACAAAATTTAAAGTTCCTACAAATGTCCCCGCGTCCCTTTAGAATCAAACCCGTATAAGGCATTCATAGATGACCCGAAAACAAGGGTTTGTGGTTGTCTCTTCGTCGCTACCCTCGAGAACACCGAAATATACTTCATCCTTAGAAACCTACAGGCACCTGCCAAGGATTTGCCGATGGTGTCATACACACAACATGTCACTTGCTCTACCCCACGCCACTTATGAACCTCGTCAACTCGACTGGCAATCTCCAAATCGGATTGTCCATTCTCGTACAGAAGGCGCAAATTCCCCATGTTGAGACCATAGATTCTAAGGTTGTTGCAAGAAACCACTACCACAGCGTCTACCAAAGTCCGCTTTCGGTTTGAACATGCAACACACAACACTCTGCAGAAGTCGGAACCAGCCACAGACAATCGTATGCAACAATATGACACATTTTTTTGTTGTATTCCGACACCGCGCAACGGATATACTTCCAAAAACGGATTGTAGGATGCACAGTGCAACAACTCTTGTTTCAAGTCTGCAGGCCACACCCGAGGTGACCTCGTGACGTTGTCCAGGCGAAGGTAAAACCGATTTTTTTCTTGCTGCCTAAGTGTGGTGCGTAGGGACGGAAGTTGCCTGACACCAATGGCATAATGAGGTACTCTTATCAGACTTCCCCACTCCATCGCGGAAGCAAATTTGTACTCCTTATGCCATGGGCATTTCCTTGCCAAGATGGTTGTATCTCATTCTGCCTTGGACCACGCATCAATAGGCTTGTCAAAGAAGGTAGCGACGATCATCCACAAGTCATTTTTTAACTCTGTTGTCATCGGTTCGACAATTTCGGCATCGCCTCCCGAACCACGGAATCCGCATGCACAAGGGTGAATGGGGCATGCACAATCATGCCGATGGTCCATGACTCCTGTCGCACTCCCTACACAAGACATGAAATGCAAACATAAATGAAAATGATCGAAAAAGTACAAAAATCGCCTTCATGATGAACTTAACTTCGGAAATTGCAGAACCGTCACCAACCATCTAAAAATATTAAACCGTAAACCGTGGACAAAATTCGCTACGCAAAATCATCGAAAAAAAAATATGCTCCATTCTGAATTCTCGTCCGTTCTAACAGTTATTTTACAAAAATCTCACTCCCCCACTCTATCGGCCAGACGTGCACTAATCGCTCTTGTCCCCTCCATCTACACTCCCTTCACCAGATGGACCTTCACCAGATGGATTCAGATCGAGAAGTGCAGCTTCAGCATTCAATCGAACAATGGAAGGAATGACAAGTCCAATTGTGAATGGTCTTGTATTACGGACCGGTCTCTCCCAACCAAAAGCGATCGAGTAAGCATCCTGCCATTGTGTCTGGTCAGTCATTTTCCATCGTTTTTTCCATGCGTTCTCATACAGTTGTTCGAGCGACTTTGCTCTTCCAGTCGGCACCCAATATTCCACTAGCACTTGATTGTAATTTTGCGAATTACAATCAACAACCACCCGAGAAAGAGCTTTGCCGACCCAGATTGACACACTGCTGGACAGATCATCGTCGGAGGGGCAAAGGATAAGAAAAGTGCCCACGTCGACATACACGAGCGGGTGGAAACTAGTCTTCGGACCATTTTTTCTTCGTTCAACAAACAGCGGTTCCCTATCATCGTCGATGTTGACACTGTGAGGAGAAGGTTGTTGATCGATTTCGAGAAGCCGTGGTCGTGGCCAAAAACTTCCCTGGGGTTGTGAGGACAACCCGTTGGCGATGATCTCATCCCCATGTTTGATAACCTCCACCCAATAACACAAAGCTCTTTCTCTCCTACTCACCTCACAGTCATTGTAAGTGCACCACGTCGACCCCCTACTCTCCAGCAACTCGCGGAATCGAACAACACCATTTTTGCCATTCAAATAGTCATTTCGAGGAAGGGGTTGCACATGAGGCGGGTCAAACGGCCATGAAGGACCAGCATAGCTTTCATTGGGGKTTTGATTGAACCAAAAAATCGGACCTTCCTCGGGCAACCATTCTTCGTCATTGCAAAACTCCTTGTACAACATGCCCGGACTATCTCCAACCATAAAAATTTTAAGCAAGTGTGGTTTTGAAATACCGGTAACGTCTGATGCAACGCACGGGTCCACTATACTAATCCAATCTTTCATCGTATCGAGAAAAATACATTTGGGAGGCTTTTTGTGGGATTGCTCTATGAGCTCGAAGAACTCGTCCATAGTATAAGCGTCTACGTCTTTCAATTTCTTCGAGAAAACGACGTCTGTATGGATGTGTCCCACCTGCATGAAACCTATTTCTACCTCTTCAAAAACTTTGAACTTAAGGAACAGTGCAGCCAGGGCACATATGTACTTGTTCTTGTTTTCCCGCCAACAATTATCTGCTTGAATGCTCAAAAACCGTGGCAGTGGCGTCCCGCTCCCTTGAATTTCGACAAGGGTTCTCATAACACAAGTAGCGACCATGTTGGAATCGTGTTTGAAATACGGAAACCACGTGTACACATATATACTAGGGTCTCTGCCGTGTGCAATGACGCCTGTCAGATTAGTCTTCATCATCATCTCGTGCCTAAGTGCTTTCGAGTAGTTCGCTTGACCAATATGGGGGATAGTTGTTTTCTTCTGATCCATGCCGTTAATGATGAGACACAAACGCTTGTTCGGACGAAGCATGGAATCAGTTTTCGCTTGACTGTAGTCCAATCTGTGTTCAACTTGCCTCCTTTGGTGTGCTTTCATACCCTTTCGAGCACGTTCTCGATCTCGAGGAAGAGCAACATATTGTATACGTTCCTTCAGTTCATGACAGACGGCGCACTTCGTGAATGTGTTAGATTGCGCGAGGGAAACGTGAAAAAAGTGTTTCCGCCACAACTTATAAAAGTTGGACTCAGACACGACATCGAGGCCAGCGGGCAGAAAGTCGGATTTCATGGACTCATAAATTACTCTCTTCGTGAAAGCAACCAGGAGTCGAAGCTTCGGTCTGGAAACCCCACCTTGGTTAGCCACCTCATTCGGCATGCTAACCGCATGACACTCGATGAACGTTCTCATGCNAACCAGGAGTCGAAGCTTCGGTCTGGAAACCCCACCTTGGTTAGCCACCTCATTCGGCATGCTAACCGCATGACACTCGATGAACGTTCTCATGCTGGCAAGCATGGCGACCGTTTTATTGGTTGGCCTATATTTTCCCGTCAGGCCATGCTCGGAACGCACGTAGCCATTGTCGAAACGCTTTTTGTAGCTGTAAAATGCATTACGCGAGACACCGAGTACATTGCAGTTCGCCCTGACGCACATTGAACGTTCCAACTCCACAGGGCGGACACAATTCTGTCCACCCTCATTTACTGTGAAATCCTTAATACTTTTCATCCACCACTCAGCTCGCTCTCCTAGACTCTTACTGTACAATCGTTGTCTAACCTTTCACACTTCCTTAGGCGACACGTCGTAACAGCATCGAGCCTTGCAACATGCCATGCCGCGCACCATGAACAGTTTTTTTTCAGACAGCATGTTTCTCGCTCTTTTATACTGTTCTTTCCTCCTAGCGTTCCTATTAGCCATGCTATGCCTTCGTCTTTCGCCTGCAGTATCGCCCTTCTCTCTGCAACACCCCTGCCAGACGATTCCGACCCAGACTGGCTCTGACTTGGAATCGCATCATCACTTCGCATATGCGTTGGACTCGCCCGTGTTGTGGAAAGCTCCTCTGAAGAATAGTCGGTGGCAACCAACTTCGTAGTGCTGGAGCTAGCGCGAAGCAAAGGTCCACTGGAATAGGACTATTGTCCAGACGAGTAATCAGTGACCACCAACCGCTCACTCTCGTCATCAGATGATGCGTAAGAAACACCCATTAGCATGCAACTGTTGTGCGCCGAAGCTGTGGGGCGCACCTCGCCAGGAATGTGAAACCGTCTATCCGGGAGGTAGACGGTTCTTCGCCCGCGGACGTTGTTGCCAATTCTGTAGGCAGTTGGATGCAACCTCCAAAGCTCTCACGAAAAGCGAGATTCCGTTTTCTTGGGAAATCCGCAGCTGACAGTTGGAACGGCGAACTGTCCGAAGAGGTCGTCGGGGCCAACTCCAGGTGTTGTAGCTGGCAATGCAAGTCGACGGCTTATTCAGTTTCCATAGCCCGGTTCATGCGGCCGTTCGCCGAGCCTTCTTTGGCGCCGTCATGCAACCGTCGGTGCAGCGGATGCGATTCCCGTCAGCGCAATGGATTATTCTCTCTTGTGTGGGTTGAATGGGTCATTCAAATTCGTGTCCAGACCTTGCAAAACAGCGGAGCAAACTGTAAGCATCGTCAGATTTACGCGTTGAGGACACAAAGTTCGTCGGGATCCAAATTTGGCGGGTGCAGGAGTAGCAAGGAACCCGTTTTCGCGCGGCTTCTGTCAGTGAAAGGTAGCGCCAGTGGCTGTGCACACAAGGAACGCTATGTTTGGGCGAACAGAAGGAAGGCTCTGTTGTCGGTGAATGATAGCACGCGCAGAACAAAGGGTAGTGGTGGATGCACCACCACTCAATTCGGCTCAGCGCGACCCCAAACTGACCCCTATAAACACCGATTCTCACCATCGTCTAAGCGAGCTCGTGCGGTGTTCAATTCGCCGGTACTAGTGCAATAGCTATCGAACATGGACATCTCCACTGCGCAGACAAGAACAATGTAGAAAACGATGAAAGATCCCCCCTTCAACCCTTCCAAACATTGATTCGGCCAGTCGAGAAGGTGAGCCCCGATTCGCGCGCCGGGAACGTCGACGTGCGACAGCGCGAACCGAACAGCACGCAGAAACACAAGCATGTCTGCACCAAAACTCCGCACACCGCGACGGTCAAAACCCTTGGGGGGCAAAAACGATCGTCGGTGCGAAAAATTGCTCGCCTTCTTAAATGCCTTTGAAGCGGGTTATGAGGGTTGCCGACGGTGACAACGGTCGTGTCCCTTATTTTTGGCAACCCCCATGAACCCCTTCAAGGGCATTTCAGAGGGCGAGCAATTTCTCGCACCCGCAGTCCTCACGCAATCAACTCACACTCGAAGCTCCAGGCGCCATGCGAAGGACGGATAAATTTGCGCCGATCCTCAAAGTTCGCCAGGATCCGAACTTGGCGGATTTGCCTGCAGCGAGTAACAGGTTTTCGCGCGGCTGCAGGTATTGGAATGGGTGGATGGCGTTTGCACAGAAGCAGGCGATGCTCAGCAGTACCGCATTTCGGGGCGGCGATGAACGAAGATCCACGGCACACCGGAAATGGACTCGGCCAGTGACACCGTCGTCAACCCCAATAAACCCCTTTTAGGGCAACTCACAAGGCGAGCACTTTTCCACACTACCAGGCCGCCGGCATTGAAGACTGACTGGGCAGTCCAAGCTGTTGAAAATAACGGTCAGATTTACGGGTAGCCTCTAAGTTCGCCGGGATGCGAATTGGGCGGGTGCTGGAGTAGCAAGGAACCTGTTTTCGCGCGGCCTGTGACAGTGGAAGGTAGCGCCAGTGGGTGCACACAAGGAACGCTATGTTAGGGCGAACATAAGGAAGGCTCTATTGTCGGTGAACGATAGCACGCGCGGAACAAATGGTAGTGGCGGATGCACTACCACACAATTCGGCGCAGCGCAATCCCAAACTGACCCCTATAAACACCGATTCTCACCATCGTCTAAGCGAGCTCGTGTAGTGTTCCATTCACAGGTACTAGTGCAAGAGCTTATCGAACTCGAACATCTCCACTTCGCAGACAAGAAAAATGTAGAAAAGAATGAAAGATCCCCCCTTCAACCCTTCCAAACATTGACTCAGCCAGTCGAGAAGGCGACCCCCGATTCGCGCGCCTAGAACGTCGAGGTGCGACAACGCGAACAGGACAGCACGCAGGAACAGAAGCATGTCTGCGTTAAGACTTCGCGCACCGCGATGGTCAATAACCTTGGGGGGCAACAAAGATCGTGTGTGCGAAAAATTACTCGCCTTCATAAATGCCCTTGAAGGGGTTAATGGGGGTTGGCGACAGTGACAACGGCCGTGTCCCTCATTTTCAGCAACCCCCATGAACCCCTTGAAGGGCATTTCAGAGGGCGAGCAATTTCTCGCACCCATAGTCCTCTTGCAATCAACTCACACTCGAAGTTTTAGGCGCCACGCAAAGGACGGATAGATTCGCGTCGATCCTCAAAGTCCGCAAGGATCCGAACTTGGTGGATTCGCCTCCATTTGGAATAGGTGGATGGAGTTTAAAAAGAAGCAGGCAATGCCCGGGCGCACGGCATTTCGGGGTGGCGATGAACGAAGATCCACGGCACACCGGAAATGGACCCGGCCAGCGATACCGTCGTCGACCCCAATAAACCCCTTTCAGGGCAACTCACAAGGCGAGCAATTTCCCGCACTACCAGGCCGCCGGCATTGAAGACGGACTAGGCAGTCCAAGCTGTTGAAAATAACGGTCAGATTTAACGGGGAGCCTCTAAGTTGGCCGGGATCCGAATTTGGCGGGTGCTGGAGTAGCAAGGAACCTATTTTTGCGCGGCCGGTGTCAGTGGAACGGAGCGCCAACGGGTGCACAAAAGGAACGCTATGCTTGGCCGCACAGAAGGAAGGCTCTACCACTCTCAAGTTGTCGTTGTACGATAGCACGCGCAGAGCAAAGGGCAGCGGTGGATGCACCACCACAAAATTGGGCGCAGCGCGACCCCAAACTCACCCCTAGTGCAAGAGTTCATCGAGCTCGAACATCTCTACCGCGCAGACAAGAAAAATGTAGAAATTGATGAAAGACCCCCCCTGCAACCCTTCCAAACCCCGATTCGGCCAGTCGACAAGGCGACCCCCGATTCGCGCGCCGGTAACGTCGATGTGCGAAAGCGCGAACCGGAAACCACGCAGAAACACGAGCATGTCTGCGACAAGAATCCGCGCACCGGGACGGTCAAAACCCTCTGGGGGCAACAAAGATCGACGGCACATCGATAAGGGACACGGCCGCTACCACCGTCGTCAACCCCCACAAACCCGTCGAAGGGCATCTCAGAAGGTGAGCAATTTTTTCGCACCCACAGTCCTCACGCAATCAACTCACACTTGAAGCTCCAGGCCTCATGCAAGTACTTTTGCGTGCCCGGAGGCCTCTTATAATCAGAACACACTCGACAGCCGTGGCCGTCTAAAAGGGCGGTTAAATTTAGGCGGGACCTCAAAGTCCGCCGGGATCCGAACTTCGCGCTTGCTGGACTGGCTACGAATTGGTTTGCGCGGGGAACGACGGATATAGAGATGACCGGTGTGGAATTGCACAGAAGGAACGCTAGGCTTGGCTTCATGGCCAGGGAGGCCCTGCTGCTGCTCACAAGTGTTTGTTCCAACAGAGCACGCACAACAGAAATGGTCGTCGCAGGTGCACCACGTCCGAAATTGGCGCATCGCGGCCCCCAATAGACCCCCATGGACCCCGATCTCCTCATCGACAAAGCGAGCACTTGCGGTGATCCAGTCGCAAATGTTGTCGTCCTTAATGACAATGACTGCAAGCAAAAAAAAAAAATGACCACGGTTGGTGGACCCCCAATTAGTACCGCAGACAAGGCGAGCTCGCACTCGGGCAATGGCAGGTTCCACAGCTAGGATCATGGGACCACGAACGGGTGCCAACCACGAAGTCCGCCCGGATCCGAACTTCAGATCGGTTGCCACCTTCGACCGAGAGCATTAAACACTTTGCTTTTGCTGGGGTCCCATTGATAGGACTGTTTTTTTGCGGCAACGCCACCGAAAGAACAGTCATGCAACCAGGACTCTGAAAAGATCCATGCAAACCGTAAGCATCTTATTTCAGCGACGTGGTCGAAACAACAATAATCATCCGAGCAGCTCACGACTTCGCATGCTTCAGATTGCAAGTCCGCCGAGATCCGGACTTTGTCGCACGCTGACAACTGGCATGGCGTTATGAACTATCGACCCCACGCCCGAAAGCTGGAAAATGTGTCTCGCAAAACGTAGTCATCAGGGCAACCCAGGATGGCATTGTGACTGCGAACACGAAACCAACAACCGCCAAACAAAAAACGTGGAGTCGCGTGTGAAAGCCTGGCGAGATGGGAAGTTCGGATCCCGGCAAACTACATCAATCTTGCGCTATTTTTGTACCTGCGCGTGCTCTCCCTGCGGTCGCACAACGGCAACAGATTGTCGTTTCCGCAAGAGCACTGTGCATGATTGTTGTAGTTCGTCGGGATCCGAACTTCCCATCTCGCAAGGCAACCACACGCCACGCGCCGTTCTTTGTTTGGCTGTTGTTGGTTTCGCGCTTGCAGTGACAATGGCGACCCCCCTTGCCCCGATGAATGAGACGTTCCCTAGAGGCAGCCGGGTTGTTCGTTATTGAACGAGGCCATGCTTTTGTGTCGAGGTTGTCGTCACGAAACATGCGGCGCTCACGCCGAAGAAATGCCATCGTCATTGCAACGAGCGGTGCAGGCGTTCTCCATCGCGCGCACGCAACGTGTGCATTCTTCGTTCTGGAGCCCGCGGATGTTACGCGCACAGTCCTTGCATTTGTCGTACGGAATGCGATATCGCATCCCTCATGACCAGCGCCAGGAGCGTGCGCTCAACATCCATGACCTCTATGGTGGATCATGTGCACATTGTGTGCGCGGGATGGAGACGACAGCAAGTCTCCCGGGATTGACGCCATAGTCTCTTCGGGGAGGGAGGCTCAAGTGTTGTGGCGAGAACATGAACACGGAACGATGACCCCCTCCTGTCTATGAATACCATACCTCTCGCTGCACGCCACGTGGACGGCGGACATCCTTCCCACCGTGGCCACCGCGAGACGCTTAATACCAACAGTGGTCGCGCGCAGCCCATGCGGCACCTGCTTGTCGCTCACCACCACCGCCGCGACTACTGTTCGTCCATGCCGGCGCAGTTGGCCCCACGATGGATTCAAACCATCAGTCGTGGTTTTGGAGTCCAATGCGCCTCCTTTGTGATAACCAACCTCTAATCTCTTTGATGAGAACTGCAAACGTGCGAGGGAAGTGTTTCGAAGGGGTTTCGTGTTCTGTTGGGAATAGGTGATTTCGTGTTTGCCTCGACCGCGCGGGAGTGGTTTGCAATGTTCAGCTTGTGATCAACGACCCTTTTTCTTCAATGCCAAGCAAAACAAGAATCGTGGGGGCGGTCGCGTGGAACGAATGAGAGAGAAGCAGAACAAGACACGGAAACTGTGTGCCCCGATGTCTACGTCATCCGTTCCTGTCGTCCCAGCCACTTGCGACACGTGGCACGACATGATGATAATGATGACGATGGTGATGGTCATGATGATGGTGACGATTACAGTGGTGATGTTGATCTGGACGACGATGTCGCTGATGATGATGACGATGTTGATGACGATGATGATGTTGATGATGATGTTGGTGATGATGATGATGGTGATGATGACGATGATGATGATGACGATGATGACGACGATGATCACGATGTTGATGATGACGATGACAACGAAGATGACGATGGTGGTGATTTTCATGACGGCGACGATGTCGCTGATGATGATGACGATGTTGATGACGTTGATGATGTTGATGATGATGTTGATGATGATGACGATGTTGATGACGTTGACGATGTTGATGATGATGTTGATGAAGATGATGATGATCACGATGACACTGATGGTGATGATGATTTTGATGATGATGATGATGATGATGGTGGCGACGATGATGGTGATGATGGAGGCGATGATGATGATGATGATGATGGCAAGCAAGAATCATGGGGCACCTCGTGAGGAAAGAACGAGCGGGAATCAGAAGGGGACACAGAAACCATGTGGCCCATTGTCACCGACATCCTTTCCCTTCGTCCCCGCAACTTGAAACAGTTGGCGCGACGTGGCCGCTCCCATGGGCCAGCAAACATGCCTGACTGCCTTACACGTGGGCAGGCACAACAACACTTTACCTTGAAGAGGGCGCAGCGCACACGATGGCGCAGCTCTTTGACGGGTCACAGTTCTTCGACGAGGCGCAATTCTTCGACGACGGCGAAGCGCACACGATGGCACAACTATTCAACAAGGGCTCAGCGCAGACGACGGTGGCCACTTGCTGACGCAGGACGCAGAGACGAGATATCGAAGCACACACAATTGAAGCACAGACGAAGTTGTCGACGAGAGGAAACCCATGCACCCACGCCCGCCGCCGCCTGGCACAACAACGGAGCAAAAAAGGCGATGGAGGATGTCGCTGACGGGACGTCGTGCGCGAATGCGCTCGTCAGGCTCGAGATGCGAAAGGGCTGCACCAGACCCGAGGCAGCTGAGCCTCAGACTATCGTCGCACCACATGGAAAGACCCGCCTGCGTCCCCCCGCACGGCCACAGACCCCGCTCGCCAGCCAGGAGACGCGAATGGCCGCAAACCCCTCCAACCTCCCCTTTCCCCCCGCCCCCCTCCCCCCTCCCCCCTCCCGCGGTTCTCCCCCCTCACCCCTGGAAAGTACAAACTGCCCCCCCACGACACTTGAGACCCCCTCGACCGGGGCCCGCGAACCCGAAGACACGAACACGAGGGGGCCGGAACAAGGGCCCGTTTTCCAATGACGTCCGGGAAGGGCTAGCACGTAGGGACGTTTTTTGTCACATTTCGACGCACCAGGCCCCCCTCGGGACAATTTTGACGTGCAGCCACCGTTCGATGCAAGGATCGAACAATCGCGCGTCGGCACGCGGACCCTGCACGGAAATCCAAAATGGAAGGCCCGAGGGGGCCTCGTTTCCCGCACGCCTACAAACACAAGCGGCGCTCTGGGCATCAACGATGCATTCTGCGTTTTTGCTGGGGAGATGCTGCCCGACGGAAGCCACGCACTGCCACTGTCGTCAACAGCTGGCGCGCCATAGCTAGCACAACCGTTCTTCACCGCGCACGTTTCGTGGCACCGACGCACCCCACATGCCCTCGCATGTCCCTTCGCCTACCAAGTCGTTGTCCACGTCATATTCGACGTCGCTTCCGATCTCCTTTCTCGAAAGGCGCGCCCACCACCCCACGCAATACCCTAGCAAACGCGAAGCGCACGCCCAAAGGTGGACAGAGTGCCGTCACGATAAACATCGGGGTTCACGCTCATCTTCACTCGGCAGTTCCACACGGTGAGTGCGCACGCAGTGGGGACGTAGGTGTGCATGTGCGCGCGTGCGGGGGGGGGGGGGTTGTGACGATATGCTCACGCAGATCGAAAGATTTCGTGGCTGCATGTGTGCGGGTGGGCGTGTGTGTGTGTGTGTGTGTTTGTGTGCGATTGTGTGTTTGTGCATGCTTCATTGTGCGTGTGTGTTTTCGAGTGCGTGTTCCTTTGTGTTTGTGTTTGTATTGAATTTTGTGCCACACGCGCGAGGCAGGATCGTGTGCGCGTCTGCACCTGAGGGGCGTGTGTGTGTGGGCGCCATGTGTCGGCGCGTGTGTGTGTGTGTGTGTGTGTGTGTGTGTGTGTGTGCGTGTGTGTGCCTGTTTGTGCATATTTGTTCGCGAGCGTGTGTGCTCGCGCACATTTTGCGCGGGGAGATGCGTGCGAACGTGCGAGGTCAGGGATGAACGACATGGTTTGCACTTCGATTCCGCTTCTGCTGCAATCGGGAACGAACGACGCATGTGTGTGGATGTGTGAGGAAAGTATCAAAAAACGATTGCGCTTGTGCTGTGCTCAAGTGGCGAAGCACGGAAGCTCGAATCGAACACGTGGTGACCAGTAACGAAACACAACCTCATCGTGAGCACTTGCCATACCCGATTGATTTTGTGTGCTGTCCCAATGTCATATCCGCCGATCTGCCGAATGGATGATGAATCGAAACACGCGGTGGCAATGTCGACATCGCGAACGCATCCAACGACCAAGCGCGAAACACGATGAGATCACTCGCGATCGGATGATTGATCGTGTTTGCCGCGTCGACGTTACCACCGCGTGTGTGTTGTTCTTTCTGTCGTGTGTGATCAGATCACTCGTGATCGGATGGTCGATCTGATCCATGACAATATGTACACCACACACGTGATGAACCGACCCATCACGAAACACAAGTCGACCACACGCGATCGGGTGATAGATGTTGTTCGCTTCCCCAACAACATCGCCGCGGATCTGCCTGACGGATGATTAACCAATGCACGAGGCGACAACGCATCCAACCGACCAATCGTGGAACGACAGAAAATTACTTGTGATTGGATGATTGATCGTGTGTGCTGCACCGAAGATCAACTTGTCGGTGAGCGACCTGTTTATTTATCCACCTGACAGTCCTCGACCGAATTGTCGATCGGTCAGGGAATATGCCAGGATCAACTGATTGGTCGACCACTCTGTTGGCGATTGCTCTACTAGTTGATCAAGCACCACACCAACCGCCAACCGAGCAGCCGATCAAACAGTTGATCCTGGCAGATTTCATGACCAATCGAGTGTTCTGTGCACATTGATCGTGGAGAACAATCGCGGAGAATCCTCAAGGCAAATGATCATGTGCACAATCGAAACTGGAGAACGAAACACACAACCGATCGGAAAAGCGTCAATCCCGATCTGCGAACGAATAAAAAGCAATTCGTCACAATCTTGTTGCACATCGAACCTCGTATAACATCGAACTATGCTGGCCATGGAACCTGGCTCCACATCAAACCTCGGCGGGCGTCGAACCTCGTCGGACGTCGAACTTTAGAGGACTTTGGGACGTCAACACTTGACGGTCACTGAACGGCGGCACTGTTCTCATGATCGGAACGTGGGCGTTCTAATCTGCCAGCACAACCTGGGCCACACCAACCGAATTGATCGTGCAATCAAACACCGGAAGAAGTTGGGATCCCTGCGAGCTTGAGCAGCTGTTCGAACAGGCTTCTCAACCCCGGTATGCAACCACAGCCAGAGACGTGGAAAAATATGAAGTCCGCCGGGATCCGAACTTCAAGAAATTGCTGGACGGCGAGTTTGGCAGACAAGTGTGTATCTCCCACGCAATTTCGCCAAGTTCGGATCCCAGGGAACTTCATGCAGCTGCTCGAACACGCTTCGCAACCCCGGTCCGCAACCACAGCCTGGGATGTGGAAAAATTTGAAGTCCGTCGGGATCCGAACTTCAAGAAATTGGAGGACGGCGAGTTTGGCAGACAGGTGTGTATCTCCCACGTAATTTCACCAAGTTCAGATCCCGGCGAACTTCAGGTTCCTGATGGCCTGCGGATCCAAACCTCACTCGCACTGTTCCTTGCACACTCGTCAAGTCCGGACCTCGGCGAACCACAGACCCGTTGTCGGTGCGAATACCCTTACAAGGATATCCACCCTGGTCTTTGCAAACAACAGAAAGTTGTTTGGTTTAAAGTTTAAGTATGCCGCGCTAGGCGCGGCCACGTCCGTAATTTATGTTGACTAGATGGTTGACGAGAGTAAAAGAGTGCGTGGGCGCGCAAGCTTGAGGCGCGCGTGATTTTCCCTTCCTTTGGTTACACTAGCAGACGTGGCGTGGACATCAGTCGGCGCGCTCTATTATAACAATTGTTTGTTTTGACTGAGTTGGCTAACCTATGGGCGCTTTTCTCTGGTTCCACGTGGAACGATGGACGGGTCAATGAGTGAGTGTGGCCTTACGCGGCATCCAGATGATGGGACCTGATGGATTCGGCCGGGTAAGGGTGGCCGCGGCACAGCCGGGAGGTTGGCGCGGCCCCTTTGTGGTCATGTGTGTGAGTATGGGTTAGGAAATGGCATAGGGTGGCTCCTTTGGCCCCAAAAGGCCGGGGGCTACCCCTTTTTTAGGTGAGTCAGGCCTGCTGGTACCCGGCTTGGGCTTAGCCCTATAGGTTATAACATTGGACTGGTACGCAGCAGGTGCAGGGATCGAGGCCAACAGCGTGCGGCAAGGGAGCGGAAGAGCGTGGCGAAAAGGCTTGAGGGGTTGACGGGCCTATGGGACTATCCACCTCGCCTTTTGCTGCCGCGGGGCCGAGCGTGGGGCTGACGGGCAGGCTGAGAGGGGTGCCGTGGTCCCTGTCCGACTACTGCTCATTTTTATTTTTTTATTATATATATATATATATATATTTTTTTTTATTTCTAAGTTTATTTAGTTATTATTATTGTCGCGCCCTTATGTGGACGCGAAAACACAGTAGGACCCGTCGGGTAGTCTTCACAAAAGCGCGGAGGGGATGACCACTATCGAGCACCTCTGACCTTGACAAGAGGCACCAGAAACGTGAGCGACGGGAATGAAACGCGTGAGGACTGAGCCTGGCGGGATTCTCCGCAATCTTGTATCGAGAAGAAGAGCGCAGCCGGGGTTAAGGAAAGCTCGTCGAAGTTGCGCACAGGGGAGCGGAGAGGCGACGGGCGTTAAAGGCTAGGAAGCGAGGTAGCATGAAGTGTTGTGAATCCGGACGGCGGGCTTGCGCGTAGTGAGGGAGGCTAAGGCCAACCCGAACGACTTTTGAAAGCGCCAAGAGGCGCCGAACACGGGGGAAGTCCTTTGGGACATCCGTCGAAATTGGAATGATTCGGTGAAGATTAACATGGCCCTTGTGCCAGGTCGATATGCGTAAAGCAGGGAAACGCATCGGCGCTCTATTTTTTTTTTTTTCCCTCCCCAGTTGTCGCCTCCTGTCGAATCTGGACGCGGTAGAACCGGATGTCAGGCTAAGCTGCGCGAATCGAGCGAGCAAGAGGGATTGGGCACTGTCAGAATGAGAGAAGCAGGGACGAGGCCGACTGGGCTGTGAAAGAATCGGGAGAGGAAACTGCTATAGGTGCACGCGGGGGAAAGGAGGCAGATGATGGCGGAAAAGCGAGCTGGGCGCAGCGAGAAGAACGCGACTTGTGGGAAGCTTCGCAGGAGAGGGTAAGTAAGAGGTGGATATCGGGGTTTTCGAGGTGGGCGGCCCCGATTTTTGGATTAGTTTAGTTAGAAAGCGATTAGAAATAGGAGTTAGTGAAGAAAG